CTAGGCGGAAAAAAGCTTGGCGATTGCTCGACCCACAACGACTGACTAATCGAGTAACTTTCGTAGCCTTTGTTGACAGCTGGTGGCTGCTTAAGCTCGCGGGCTTGAGCTAAAGCTCCCGGCCACTCGGAGCACGGAGCTCGGAGCACGGAGAGCCGGAACGATGACGTCGCCGAAAGCTTGCAGATAGTCAAAAGTGTGCAAGTGTGCAGAGCGAGGGTGGATCCGAAAATCACTTGCTCACCTACTCACGTATTTCAGGATTTTCCAGCAGGCTTATCGCGGTACGGGCAGGCGGTGCCCCTATTACGCGAACACCCGATAAGCAGTGCCAATGCGATAAGCGCGGTACATTGCGAACCTAAAGGCCGCCTTGCCTTAAAGAAGAAGTATCTGAAAGATACAGAGCGCGACCTTCGGCGGGGATTGGGCTGCGCTTTGCCACAGGTTCAACAATCCCTGGCTGCACACCGCCTAAAATCCGAAATGGCTCTTCCGCTCCCGAAACGCGGAACACTCCCACTATGTGGCCATCCCGGAAATGATATTTACATACGGGACAGCCAGTGGGATCTTCTGGCTGCTGTCCTACCAACATCCGCGCCGTCTTACTTTCCGTAAGTTTTTTTTTGCGCAACACTCGGCGATGTGCGAATTCCAAGCATTCCGAACCACTTAAGCTGTCTCGTTGTGTCAACTATTTACGCGAATGCATTCATTTAACGAGCTTTCGATGCACAGGGGCTTGCCTTCGTCTTGATTAACCACTTTTCACAACCAAAGGAATGGCTGGACTGGAAGTAATTATACCTATTAAACACTTCAATCTGCATGCAATGACGCCCATTTTTACAGTAGACAGATCATGGGCGGGAATAGCCAACCGCCAAATGGGCGGCATGAGATCGAGAGCGTCCTAGGCCAAGGAGCTTCGGGGTGGGCCAGCTCCGCATCCGTGTACGAGTGTGTCGTGCCGCACAGGAGCGTTTTGCCGGCGCACGCACGCAACAAAGACAGGGTGTGGCACGTCATCTGCAAGGCAACTCGTGTACATACACACAGCGCGGCCGCAGAAGATAGGAATCCGACCCCAACCGTTCAACCGAGTTTTAGCAAACCAAACCTTAGGCATTGGGCGCGAGAAATCATTTGAAATGTTCTACCCAATTATCACCCTTATGGCGATTTAATAGGGCCGTGTTGTTTGTGGCAATTTAAAACCGCACGTCTTATTAACGCTGACAGAACACAAGAAACACTACGACGGGAAGGAGGAGACAGAACAGAACTCACCTGAAATCCAAGCTTAAGTTTCTTTGGTGCGTGGAAATGCGTTTCGGCGGATTCGCACTTCCCGGAGCAGCAGCTGGCGCTAAACTGAGATTTGGGCGGCCGTGCACGGAGGGCATGGAGTGATTAAACACGCGGCTCAGGCTGAGACGAGGCTTAGAGTAGCGCGAGTGCTTGGGCGTGCTGGCCGCTGAACTGGCTCCCGGGAGGCACTTTATCGTCGGCATCTGGCCTCCGATGGGCAGCGTGACGGGGGCGGCCATTAAAAAGGCGGGTACAGTGCTTCCGTTTCCATTGCCCAGGTCTGATCCCAGCGAGGACAGCGTGCTGGTGGAGGCCGAGTGCGGCTCGCAGGCTACGGAGAGCGACGACTGGCTGTGGGGGCTACTCATCCTGCAGGTTGCGGACGACGTGTTGTGCTGGCTCCCGCTGGGACTTGGATGGCTTACCGAGGCCGACACGGAGTCGCAGGTGGTGCTCTCCGCCACAGTTGGACTGTGCACCACGGTGCTGTTGCTGTGTTCGCTGGAGCTACTGGTGCTGGTGCAGGCGGCAGTCGAGTGCTCGGAAATGTCCTCGTCATCCGTCGCTGGCGGCGGTGGACAAGCCCATGTTTCAGCCACCTCCAGATTGGCATTGTCGCCAATCGGAGTGCTGGGGGTCACGGCTTCAACGGCTTTTCCGTTCATGTTCAAGTCGGATAGCGCCTCGGTGACGGACAGCCGGACCGTTGTGGGCAGGCAGTGATCCACAACATCGACTCCGGTAGCCAGTGCCGCCATTGTCGCCACTGTCGAGGGCGTACCGGCCTTGCTGACTGGCCTTTCCTCTGCCACAACCACGACGGAAGAAAGGAGCTTGTTGTTCGTATCGATTTCGCGAATGTGGCGCAGGTGCGGGTAGCCACTGTTTTGGGCCACAGGCTTCTTCTTAGCCACGCCGCCGCCCACGCTGGCTATACTGATGCCCACGCCAACAAGTCCGCCGCCAGAATTTTGCTTTGCCTCTACCGGAGCTGAGCCATTCGCCGCTCCCATTGGAGAATTGCAGGTCGCATTGCTATTCTTTTTACCTTTAAATGCAGATATAACGGAGTTCATTTTGATTTGAATGCGGATAGTCTTGTAGGCGGATTTCAATTTTGGCTTCTAATAGCTATTGAGTGTGCTTAAATGGCGACGTAAGCATGTCTTTCTGGCACAACCTCGGAATTGCTCGTTAGTTCCATCGCTCAACTATGCGTTTTCGAGTGAAATGGTTTGCTCTTAGTCATGGGGTCTTTCTCATCTAATTGCGCTGTCGTCTCCGCTCATTGGCGCGGAATATATGGCTCTCATATCAGATCGTCCTTTTTGTAGTAGCAGCTACAGTCGCTTTTTGCCCATCGGCCCTCTAGAAAGATAAAGAAATTGGTGTCAATTAGTAATTTTCGATCAATTTAATACCCCTAAGGGGAAGCCCTTCTGTGTTTCACGTTTAGCCAAACGTAATGTAATTTTGTGATACTGTATCATACTCTTTTGGGAGCACTCGTCTTCCTTTTCTGCAACAACACTAGTTCCAGAAATTGTTTTACTTGAACTTAATCAAAATAAATAGACACACGCAAACACAGAGTTTGGAGATGCGGAGAAGGGGAACTGTCTTTTAAAGTGTGTTGGCTACACTTAATTGTGCGCCGCCTTGACCCATTTAATCATGGTGTCACGAACAAGCGCTGAGCCTTATTTTGTGGTATATCGACGATTGATAGAATATTCTTTTGTGTTCTTTTTGTACCAAATGGAAAGTAAGCTACCGCGCCAAGCTACCCTGCCATCGCCTCCTTTCTGCCCCTCGGCCCAGTCGTCTTATCTTGGTCGGCCACATCGCCCAGCATCCTCGCCCGCATGCACGTTCGCTCATTGGGAAATTAAAATTTGATGAGTTTGTGACCTGACCCCAATTATGTCTAGGCCCTCTGCTCGTCCGTTAACTGGTGCTGCCGTTAATTGTTTGCCTAATGGTAATGGTGTTGCTCGCAGGTGAGTTACATGGGCCAAGTGATCAGGAAACACTCGCGTAATCAGTGACTGATTTGTGATCAGCACTCAAACAACACTCTATTACACCATACTAAAGTTGTTCTGGCTCGCTTTCGGCCTTCGTAGGTACGGCCATGTTCCGCTGAACTGCCATGAAGAGGTTTAACGGCATGGAGCAGCGATTTGGACCGAGCATTCCAACTGGGACCTTTGAATCCACGTTTGTTTGGCCGTGCTTTGTGCTCGGAAACTAGATGAAAGCTCACCACGAGACCATGCTCCGTTCACTGACTCCGATTCCGGCTGCAGTTGCAGCTGCAGCTGCAAGCCAAACCTGGCAATAAGCAAGCCTCTCTGTTGCGAGCAGCTGTGCGGCTGCAGCGGTTTGGCCGTTTGGCCAATTGGCAGCTGAGCAATGTGCGCTGTGATTATTTTCGACTAACTCAAAGTGCACGATGCACCAAAGGCGAGAGCTGCCATGGAGCTAGACCTTTAGAAGCTAACGACGTTACTGATACGTTAATTAACTGCACAATGAAGCTTTTGTTGCTGCACCTGCAGCAAAGGCGCTTGGTCGCATTCTCAGCATATTTCTGCTGTATGGCCAATTGTGGCGTTATCGTAAAAATTGAACAGTGCGCCTAACTTATTCATCGGGTTGGCTATTTTGGAAAATAGCTTTAATCAACGCAAAATCTCAAAGTCTTAATGGGAGCTTCCCCAACTCTAACACATCGATTCGGCTTTCGCCATGCCCAGCAACGCACTCATTTGGAACCATCAAGTTGGTTGATCAACGTCTAAGCAAATACATATATACGTATATGTCACACTAAAAACTCATTTGGAACTCAGACGCAGCATTGGCAACCGACGCCACGAAGCTCGCGCTCGGTTGCAACAGCGAATCTAGAGTTTCACATTCCGCTTCTGTGCGGTTAATAAACCGCAAACTGTTCGAGACTTCGAGACAACGCAGTTAGGCGCAGATACTTTTGCTGCTGCGCAAAGCAGACTCCCTAAGAGAAATACATGCAACGTGTCGGATTGTGAACGCTGCTATCAAGGTCAGCCCAATCAGACGGGCCAGTCAGCGTACACACACGCTCGCAAATAGCTAGTTGAATAACTTTTAAAATACTCAAAATGCGATCAAAGCGCCTGCAGAACGAAGCCGCTAGATCGATACGAAAGCACAATTAAATAATTGATTAAAATCCCTCAGAGCCAAGCGGGCTGCGTCCGAAAGTTGGATTGACTCCACTGCGTTTTATAAGAGCCAAGAGCCATTTTCACACAACATCAATTTTCCGTTGCATTTCAGAGGCGACAGCTAATCAGCCGCAGTGCTGGAGGAAAAGCCTAATGGTCGTTTTTCATCTTCATCTAAGGGAAAGTTCGGTTGCACAACGAGTGTATGGCTTGGGGGCGAAAACAGCAGGGCTGACGCCGCCCATTACGTGGTTCCACTCTATTCCACATCAATTCCTAGCGAAGATGTTGTTTCTTTATTATACACCAATTAAAAATTGAAAGTTATTCAAACTAAAACGTCCCACAAAGCACTCATTACGAAAGTTCTCTGTTCAGCGAAAGTTATTGACGACCATCAAGACGCGCCTAAAAGAGGAGTCCTGGAATACTTCGGCACACTGCCCCTTCTCAGTTGACTGCCCCATTAAGTGGGAAGTTGTTCAGTGAAATCGAAGCAACCTTCATTGATCATGACAATTCAACTTGGCTTTCTAGTTTGGTTATTACTGTGCGGCTGTATCAAAAGACCGCTTCTTCAGTTCCTCCAAATTGTCCTGGTGCACGCTATATGGCGCGTTCCCAGTCGCAAATGATTCGGGCCGCCGCGGTCGTGGACGACCCCAATCTGGTGGCCTCGCTGCCGTATCTTAACTTCCTTCGCTTCCTGAAGCGGAACTTCTTCCGTAACACTGACTTGCGCCGCTTGCTTCAGGTGGGCCTCGTCCGTTGGAGCGCACTCAGCGATGCCAAGAAGAGGCTATTTGAGCCAGAAGTAAGGTATTATCCACACCACACCGTTGACTTATGCTGCATCCCCTTTCCCAGCGAATCTTGGCCCGTGTGGCGCGCAGGAAGAGAAATAGGCGACGCCGCCGATTGCTTCGCCGTTCTCGGCATGGCCAGAAAGGACGTGGTCCAGTGCGACGGCCCATCTACGACAAGCGTCCTCCACCGAAATGCGGAAGATCCAAGTAGGAAATCAAAGCTCTGTTGCCAATGGAAATATGCATATACGCTGACTTTCATTTCAGGCGGTCAGCAAGGAAAACAGTGTAAAATCAGACTTCAATAAGATATATTTCGGATTGTTAGAAGGCAGCAATGAAACTATATATTTATTTTTATACAAAAATGAAGAAATTCATTGAATTTCATTGTAGATAACAATACTGATATCGTCACGGAAAGGGAAAATGTGTGCAATCTTTCGGGTTTATCTTACTACATAGGCTACAAACGGAATCTGGATGCCGATGCCGGAAAATGTGCCATGGGCCAGACAATTCGACAAGTCGTCTTTGTGTGCCAATATATAATTTATAATTTTTAACTTCCGTTTGCTAAGCAAACAAAGCAGCCACGAAAGCAAGTTGAGAAACAAAAATAGCGACTCTAACCACAACTTGTTTTCAGTTTGGCCTGCGCTGACGAACCTGACTTCGCGCTTTTGGCATGATTAGTGATCGGAAACCAATCCAAACTCGTTGCCTTTTGCTTTTAAAATTCCCGTTTCGGATGTTTCCACTCAGACCCGCCGCTCACCAGTTACTTACTTAACTATTTGGCAAGCGTGTAGAGACTCAACAGACGGCAGTTGCAACGCTTATGTCAAAGTTATCGTCACTCAAAAGAGTAATTACAGTTTAATTACAATCCCCCCTCCGTTTCAACCGTCGCTGCCGTCCGCATAGGAGCTATTCCCGGAGAAAGACTCTCCAGCGTCTTTCCATCTGGGCGGCAAGTAGTCTTGGGCGTGCGATTCGGAAAGCCCCGAATCGAAGTCAAGCCTTGCTAAGCTTGGCTTAGGGGAGCATTATGGGGCAGGAGATCGGGTGCTCTGCTCCCCTTTGTGCTCTGCTCTTTGTTTCCGCATGTCTTCCTGTCCACACTTTGCTACTCGCACTCTGCGTGGCCTCGAACCACCATGCGTGGTAGCCACTGTTCTGCGGAGGGTTCAACGACTCAACCACGTTTGAGACCTCCGTGGCCCTACATATGTTGAATGCAGCTTAGTCTCGAAATCGATGGATGCACTGGGGGACACTTCATTGCTGCACTAGGCGAGAGTCAATGAACCGTCCAAAAAGCAGCAGAGATCAAAGCACTCCTGTTCTAAGGCTGAATGCAGCTAAAGATAAACCCAGACATTTAAACGAAAGGTCAGGTTTCCGTGTTCCCGATCCCGTTCCCGTTCCCTCTGCCCGAGCATTCTTTTGCCCGCAGCATTCCGCTGCGATACCAGGCAATACCCGATGTGCAAGAAACTGAAAACAATCAACAAGGGCGGGCTCGCATCCGGATATGGACATGAACGTAATGGTGATAGCGACCTTATCACCACTTCATTTCATTGATTCCAGAGTAGGAATACTCACAGTATCTTCGCATCCAGAGAGTGGAGAGGAGCGATGCAGTTTGCTGGGTATTGAAGACTATGCCAACTAACTAACGCAATTAGGTAGAGCATTCCACTTTCACTTGTGGCTTTCGCGTCGGAACCCTATGCCGATTATTATCAGCGTGGAAATGAGAAGGCGCCGCAGCGACACCTTATTGTTGCTCACTTGCTGCGCCCGAACTCTCGATGTGCCTTGCGTTCGTTTTAGATGTTGTTTTCCAGGTGCGATACACGGTACACCGTACACGGTATACGGTATACGGTACACGGTACCAGTTTTGCCCAGCAATAAACAATTGAATTTTTAAGTTGCACAAGCACCAACACAGGCACCAACACAGACACGGTTACAACTACAACGGGCACCACTACCAGCGCGTACGCGACTTGCAAAATCTCGTTTCGCTTGTGTGCGTGTGTTTGCGAGCAACGCTGGCTTGGTGTGCGTGCGAAAATTCACCCGACGAGAAATCACAATTCGACGACACTTGTTTCAATAATTCAGCAGCATTCTATTCTGCGTGCTTCCTTGCCAGTCTCGGTCGCAGGTCGATCTCAAATCTTAAATATAAACAAGTTGTACGCTGACTTTAGGAGAATGGCGAGAGGACTGCGGGTTGCGGGCTGCTCTGCTCTGCTCGCTTCGACCGAGGGGCGAGACACACACACAGGCGCAGGCAGAGCGATGTCAGACATGCACACACACACACACACGCGCGAAGGAACAAAAAGAGACGCGCCCATAGTATGTATACATCGTGAATGCACAAGGATGCACGAATTAGGCGGCGCGTAATCCCTTGGCCTGTGCTTACCACCTTATTATGCACAGCTGCAGCACTGCAAAGTGATCGGTAATCCACTTGTGCTCTCTTTGTGTTCGTTCCACTACAAAAACAAATTACGCGACGACCGGACGTCCACACGTCCAAAGCAATCGACTTTTTACTTCGAATGACGCGTTGCTCGGCGAGTTCGTGGGCACTCGACGGAGACGCGAGTAATCTCTAGCGCGTCGTTCTGCCTGGCTCTGCGGGCACACCATAAATGTACCCGTTACTCGTTGAGTGAATCGGTATTCCCGTTACTCGTGCAGCGGGTATGCGGGTATGCTAGATTCGTTGAACAGTAACCGATTCGAAAGTTTGAAATGACTAACGAACTTGCCTGGTTGCATATTAACCGAACATATAGTTTTTGAAAGTATCTGTTTCTTCTGTTCGAGCAGAACAGATGCATTCCATCTTTCCGCTGTGAAACTCATCACCCTACTCTGCTCCGTTTTCGAAGCATCTGGTGACGGCGTGAATTAAATAATTTGTTTTTAAGTGACGCTTAGAAGCATTCCTCGGTAAATTGTGCAATTGTCTGAGCGTCCCAAATTAGAAAATGCATGATAAGCCGCCTTCAGGCATAGTAATTTAATAGCACACATGCCCACATGTTGAGATCTCAAGGCGTAGATTACGTTTTTCCGACCGGACAGCCACAGCCTGGTTCTGCGTGAGTTCAACAATCTCTAAATTGGTCGTTGCAATGTAAATTGTGCTGCAGGCCACTGCGATTGGTCTTCTTCCCCTTCCCCTTCCTCTGGCGCAAGCCACATTCATTTGATTGACTTGAATTGGCTCTCCTCGGATATGATCGTCCGCTCAAAATGTTTGGCTGCGATGCGGACGGACAGCTCGGGTTTGCTTTTCCATCTCATTTCCCTTAAGTCCGCCATATACATTGGAAACTCAATGTATCTTGCCATAATTGTATTGCAAGACAACTATCTTTTTTATACCCATATGCATTTGTATCTGGGCGCAACGGATATCTCTATTAATGTACAAAATTCCAACCGAATTTTCTGAAATCAGATTTCAGTGACACCAAAGAAACCCTGGTCTCCATGCGGATTTCGAGAAACATATTCCGTAAGTGCCTCCGGGAAATGGTCCTAGCAAGTACTTAGAAACATCTCGTGACGCATGGAATACAATTTGGGCCTATTCTGAGCACCCCACAACAGCAGAATGAGTGAGCAGTAGCTGTAGGCGTATGGGTGATCCTGTCCCATGCGCATGTGGCATGTGGCGTGTGGCATGTGGCTTCTACCACTAGTTAAATCGACTGCGACTGGGAGAGTGCGAACTGGTCCAGGGGGAATCGCGCGGTGGTAAATGGAACCATATGCGCTCTCAAAGTATTTTTGGAAAACACGAACCCAGCGAAATGGGAGGTTTCCTTGGTTCGGTTGAGTTCGATTTGGTGCTAAATGATTTGATGTCATTGCAGCTGCATTTCTGGTGGCTTCCCAGCTCTCATGTCGCCACACCCAGGTCTAAAAAATGAAGTTCATCGTTTATTGTGTACTATTATAAAAACACTCTACATCCAGTAAACAAATATGGGGAGTGTTTCCTTTTGGGAAGGCGACTTGTCAGAACACTACCCATGCGCCGGTTGGCTGAACGGTCCCAATGTTTCTGTGGATTGAAAATGAACAAATCAGTCGCGGATATACTGGCCTACGCAATTCAATTTCGATTATGTACATTTATTTATATTAAAAGTAGCAAGGAACCGATATTGTAATTGATGCAGGCACGATGCCGTTGAGAGAAGATCTGTAAACACAAACCGAGAACGAGATGACTAAGTGCTGGCAGCTGTTTCTTTTTCCTCTTGGTGGGCGCAGGCAAAGAACAGGCAAAGAGTGGGGGGCACGCACAGGATATGCGTGTCATCAGACAGGCGCACCCGAATCCGAGCCGGAGCCTACCCTCGCCTGACCTGCGCAGGATGAACACACCCTGTGTGTGACACATCTCGCGGCACGCACATACTTCGCCCTGTTCTATTTGGGTCACGTTTGAGAGGAGGACTTGGGTAGGACAACTAAACAGCACGTTTCACTTTTGACTTAACAATTGGCTGGGGTCATTGCCGCTTTGGTTGGCAACACTTGATTTGAGTGTCCACACTAAAGAAAAAACATTGTAAAACATGTAAACGTGTGCTTACCTGTGTAGAAACTACTACTTCCTTTTCCTTGAGCCACCAGTTGATTGAGCTTTAGGGCGCTGAGTTTTCCGCATGCTGCGCTTGCGATTTTCGCTCTTCTTCTCCGCGTTCTCTTCGTTGCGCTTCTTAATGAACTCCAGTCGCATCCGAGACTTGACGATTTGCTCGGGGCGGCGCATCTCCTTGTCGTTTCCGGTCAGCCGTTTCTTAAGTTCTAGTTTTAAGTTGTGCCGTGCATGACGACTGACTGGGTAGCGCTGGGCATGGCTCAACGGCTTGGCGTTCTCGTCATCACTGCCTGCATTTTCGCGCTGCAGCTGGTCCTCGATCTTGGACTTCTCCTTCCACTCGGCATAGCGACCTGTCTTAAAGGAGGCGGGAATCCATGCACCGGACTCGGTCCGAATTTTGTTGGCTCGCGGATCCTGTACAGAAACCATTTTTTTCTTAATTCGATCCCACTTCTTAAGGCCAGGCTTGTGCTTCACGTCCTGGGATGAGTTGCGGTCCGACACCGAAAACTCGGCATTCTGCGCCTGCCGCTCAAATTTGTTGATGGCCAGGCCATCCTCTGTGTGCTTGTCTGCCGACTGGTACGGCACATAGTGATCCTCGTCCTTGCTGTTTATCTTTCGCTTTTTCTTCTTTGGCTTATCCTTGTAAAGGGCGTCCATGTTTTGGAGCCTCTTGGGCGCAACGACTTTATTGAACGTACTACTAATAGCTTCCTCGTCGGCGGTAGGCATTCTGCCTGAGCTCGGGTTTAGCGCCTCGATCGTTTTCTTTTCCTCGTCGATGTCCTCTTCGGCGCGCTGCTGCCTAAACTTGCTAATTACTTCCGCATGCTGCATTCGTTTTTCCTTCATAACGATAAACTGCGTCGATTTCTGCGTGGTGTTAAGTTCAAAAACGGTCTGAAAAGGGCACAATTACTTATAGGAGAGCGGAAATTTGATCGCAAACTGTTGATAAACAACTTACACCCCCAGGACGGAAACTACGCATCTTGACCAGTATATCGTGCTTTTGCTCCTGCAACTTGCGCTCTGTTGCAGACACTTCTGCCTGCGACTCTGTTGATTGTCCACTAGCTTGAGCCGCCTGGGCGAGAACCGGGGCAGCTATGAAGAAATCCTCCAACGGCTTAAGCGCAAAGAATTTTATTTTCTTTACGCGCGCATTTGCATCCGTGGAGGCTACTGGCCGGGAACTCAAGTATTTTTTGTAAGCGTTTTCGCTGGTGCGCAAAACTCCGGCCTGCAGAAATACGTATTATTTTGCATGTCATTAGAACTCAAACTCTGCAGTGCATTACAATTCAAACTTACAATGTGGTGGCTTTTCTTGATATCTGTCACTGTGAGGTGCTCTTCCTCGAGCAAATCCTGCGGAATGGTTCCCAATGCCGAGTTGTCGTGTATATTAAAGGGTCTGTTCAAGAACAAGTGCAGATCCAGTAGATGTGCCGTGTCGTCTGTGGATACAATGGAGTATGCGGTTCCTGTGCGACCAGCGCGAGCGCAACGACCTACCCGGTGCACAAACAGTTTCGGTTTACCCGGAAAATGCAGGTTCACCACAAAGTCTAGACTGGGAATGTCAATACCACGCGCGGCCACGTCCGTGACGATCAACACGGACACCTTCTTGTTCACAAATTTAGCGGTGTTGATTTTGCGAGCAGCAGGGTCCAGGCTTGAGTAGACTGACGAGTTGGAGATTCCAGCCTCAGTAAGTATGTACGAAATGAGTTCCACATGGTGCTGCGTGCCGGCGAACACCACGGTTTGCGACTGCACCGGAATTACATATTTGAGGAGAACCACAAGTGCTGTGTAGCGATCGTCTGGTCGACAGTAAAGGAACTTTAGAGCCAATGCATCCGGCAGCTTGGACTCGACGTCTAAACGAATGAGGACTGGGTCGTTCAGTCCGGCACGGGCAAACTCCACTAGCAGTTTTGGCAGCGTGGCCGAAAACATGACCGTCTGCCGGGAGGACGGCAATCTGTGCAGCGTTTCGTTCAGCTGCTCGCCGAAGCCCATCTCAAATAGTCGATCGGCTTCATCAAACACCACGTACTCTAGGTAAACAACCAAATTATTTCCTGCTCTTAGGCTCCGGAATTATCAACTCACCTATGGAATTGAGCTTCAGGTCCATTTCTACACACAAGTGGAGAAAACGGCCAGGCGTAGCGACAATTACATCCGGGCACGTATGTATGGCCGAGAACTGCGAGTCCATGGAATCGCCACCTAGCACCAGAATGCTCTTCAGCTCCATAAAGCGGCCCAGCTCCTTGATGAACTTGTACGTCTGCACAGCCAGCTCTCGCGTTGGAGACAGGATCAGGGCACGGGCTCCCTTCGTGGGCTCGCGCCTCTGTAGCTTTTCGAACAGGGGAATCAGAAAGCAGGCCGTCTTGCCGGAGCCGGTCTTGGCCATAGCCACCACATCGCGTCCCTCCAGGATCAGGGGAATCGTCTTTCGCTGTATGGGGGTGGGCACCTTGTAGCCCCGCTTGGTGATGCCCTTTATCAGCTCGAAACCCAGGCCCATCGACTGGAATCCGCCACTCTTGCTCTTCTTCGACTTGGACTTGAGAATGTCAGCGCCCCGTTCGCTGGTGCCACCATCGTTGTCCAGGGAAGGAAACCCTGGTATTTCATCCGCCTGCTTCTTACGCTGCCAATAAATACCTTGATTTATTGAAAGCTGAGGAATAGAAGACAATTCTCTTACCATATTTCTTTTGTTTTGAATAAACAAAACACGTGCAAAATCGATGATTATTTCATACTATCGATAACTCCACAAACTAGGCAACACCGATATGCGTAAAATTGACTAACGCCACAATGTGCCTAGTTAGTTCTCCCCTCAAAATACGACAGTGCAAAACTGACAATGTAACTAATATTTGAATTCCCGCATATAAAGGTAACTAAAACTTTCATAGGAAAACTCGATCAAAGCTGGAAAATATATAAAATATTATTCTGAGAAAATAGTAACTTTTTATGACTGCACTATTTTGCTCAAATGTACATTGTTTTTAAACGAATTGCAAATTTATGAAAATATTAAATTTTATTAAATAAATGCAACTTCTTTTCCAAACAATGGATTAAACATGAATTTTTAGGATAATATATTTGTATCTACATCCGAATTGGTTGAAGTTCTCTATGTAATCAAGTTAATTTGGTACCAATAAAAAAGGGTATGAAATAGTAATTTTACTGAATGATATACAAATGCACTTATCGGCTAACTACCTTAAATATACCTTAACGTACTTACATCAAACCTATCTTAGCACTAACTAAACGTCCTCTCCAAAATCCAAGTCCGCCTCCGACTCCTGCACCAGCACCATCTGCTCCAGTCGGTCTATGCGCCTCAGCATTTCCTCCTTTTCCCGCTGAAAGGAGTCTGCTCGCCGCCGCAGTTCTTCGTTCTGACGCCGCAGCTCGTGGAGCTGACGACAGATCTCAGAGGAAGTGAGCAGCGGCATCACGTTCGGAGACTTCGTTGACGCCTGCTTCGGCGCATTGATGATTGCCTTGCTTGGTGCCGCCCCGTTGTTTACTATACATTGCCCGGATCCTGCCGAGAGTGAAGGTCGCAGCTGTATTGTCTGGACGGTGCCCACTTGTCCCCTAAGCGAACTGCCGGACGCAGGATGGTTTGAAGGCAGTGAAGATGGGACCGCGGATTCGTTTAGGCTGTGCGACTCTTCTAGCAAAGTGGGCTCCAAAGGTCTTTGCAGGGAAGGGAGCTTTAGCTAAATGTAGGGGAATAGAGAGCAGCATTAAAGTTGTTTCTTTGTAATTTGTTCTGGCCTAAAAAATCCCATAAGCAGGTAAGTTGACTTACCTGTCGAGCCTGCAACTGGCGCATGTTGACTAGCTTTGTGCCATCGGGAAGCTGCCGCACCATTCCAGAGCTGCTGAGAGTCGTAAAGTCAAGATCTATAATATTTCTGCAAAGTATGTTAAACCAACGTACCTTGCCAACGATGCAGGTATTTTCTGTAGGGACTTTTGCTGATTGTCCGATCCGTAGAGTTTCTTAAAATCAGTCAACGAGATTATGCGTATATTCTGCCCTCAAATATTTATCATTATAGGAGTTAGCGAAACAAAACAATCAAAAGTATACCTTGTTCTTGGCAACCCCCGCCGGCGAAGAAAGATCCTTCTGCTTTATGACATTCATGCGAATCTTGGGATGAGGGTTATTAACATTTGTGCGGAGAGCTACGACCGAGGGCCGACCATTTCCATTCATGGATTGCTTGCCGCTGACGCCCGATTTGGTTTCGTGTAGCAGCATGCGTCCACCTTCCGAGAGGACAAGTTGGCGGCCATTCTGCAACGCAGTGTTCAGCATTTCCTTCGAGGCCTCGTCATCGTTGTCCTGCACCATGTCTGCGATTCCGTGTGTCTTTAGCATATTAAGCGCAGTGTTCCGCAGCACGTTTGCATCTGAATGGGAAAATGAGTGTTCCCTGGATATCATCGAATGGAGTAACTTACGGCCTCGCAGTTTTTCCAGGACATCCATTCGTTCTTCAACCGACATTTCTCGGTCGTCAATATTTTTATTTGTTGCCGGCTCGTCCATTATAGAGCTAACAGCTTCACTGGTTTCCTTCTGCAAATCAATAGGAAATAAATTATCATTGATTTTGTGGCATCAGCAGTCCAAAGATGAGAATTTAAGTTATGGGTGGTAATTTTTCGTTCTGCGAATCAATAGGGAATAACCTATCATTCACAATTCAGGATTGCAGGTCAAAACTGGGAATGTTAGAAATTATTTATGACAACCGAATACAAGTTGTCGGAAGTACATACTCTGGTCTTATGTGTTTGTTGCTGAAGTTTAATAAGCGCAGCGTGGTAAATAAGGGACAGCCAAACAAAACGTAAGTAAAACCTCATATTAAGTAACAAATATCGGACTTCAGCAGAATCCTGCCACCGTACTCACCTCCGATTCCTCGTTAAACTTTTTACTGGCTTGCGCCTGCCGTGCCGCTTCCAGCTCCGCCAGCACATCAGCTTGTTCCGTGTACACGGCAAGTCCGATCGGCGTCTTACCGAATTTGGAAACCAAGGCGACATCTGCATGGCACTTGAGTAGCAGGCGCACAATTCCCTTGTGTCTTTTCTCAACCGCCCAGTGCAGCGGGGTCATGCGAAGCTGAAATGGAAATGTGGGCAGTTGTTGATAAAACAGCTTTCGTATATTCTTACCATGTCGCGGGAGTTGACACTGCACTTTAGAGCTAGCAGCAAACTGACTACTCGCTCGTGGCCGTAGTAGCAGGCTAGGTGCAGCGGCGTTCGGTCCACCTTGGTCTTTGCGTCCATGTTGATTCCGCCCTGCAGAAGGATTTCGCAAATCTCCAGCTGATTGTTCATGGCGGCAAAGTGAAGTGCCGACATACCGAGCCAGTCGGAAGCGAAGGGCGCTCCATGCGCTAGTGCCGCCTTGACCCCCGCCACATCGCTGTCTCTGGCGCACTGGAGCAGCTGTTTGCCCAGGTCCACACATGTGGCCGGCCCCAGCAGGTTCCCCTTCTTTTGCTGGACATCCCCTTCGGTGCGCTATGAAGGAGTCGTTAGCTAGGTTAGCTTCGCTTAAAAGCAGGGTTACCGCGAATCTTACGATCTCGTAGTGCATCAGGTTGGAGTTTTCCATGGGGTAGACATGGCCATCCGCTCGGAGAGTAGCAACAACTTTGCTGGCGCCGTGACTGTGCATTTTAGCAGACGAACACTTTCAGCGACGGGTGAAGGACTATAATTGGCATTACTGCAATAAGTTTATTGAGCAAAAGCTAAGAATGCCTGTTAATTATGAATGTTTACGTTTTTAGATCTCCACTGTGTGACCAGACTAAGAAAGGGCGTTAAACTCACCTATCGGTTGAAATTGTTGTGGCGTGGTTTTCGTCATTGTATTCGTTTCACCAATTGTTTATAATTAATTAATTGTTAATTATGTTAAGATTTCCACTAGAAATGTCAATAATCAGAGCAAGATCCTTTAAGGCATTTACAAAATAACTCTGCAGAGGAGAAAGTAAATGAAACTGAATTTATTGGTATATACCAAAAGGGAGGAATAGGTATCGATAATTTCTACCTTTAGATTGTGTCCGAACCAAGCAAGGGTCACAATTTATATTTATCGAATTTACAGTTGGCGGTTACGAAGCTTGCGGCGCGCTATGGGCAAAGTAAAATTAATCTTGTGGCACGGTAAAATAGTAAATGTGCAGCGGTCTAATTGAATTCAGTGATGCACGTGCAGAAAGCACCCACGTAAGTGGAGTATGGCTACAAGAAAAGAAAACACTTTTTGTTCAGTTTTTCGGGGTTTCCTACTTTTTTACCTTGGCTATGTGTGTGAAGTGCAAGTGTGTGTGCGTGCTACGCATAAAATTCCCAGTGAATATTAGGGAAATATGAAAAAAAAGGAAGCGAAAAAGCACAAATAATAAAAAATATGTGATGGAAAACAAACGTAGATATTCCGTACAAGCAATGGTAAGTACATGTTTGTAGCCAGCTGCTTTTATCCTTTATATTCTTCTGTTGGCGTTTTTTGCTTTCCTTTTTCTGCCATTTATATATGTAGTCGGCAAGTTTGTGGTAGTGATCGTTTGTTTGCTCTTCATACTCCCACCCACAAATTTTCGAAAATCAAACGAATTCCTTTGAAAATATAAAGTATTGGCGAATAAAATATAATATATAAGGGCTGCCAAACGATAAAAACAATTTTTAAAGGGTGGGCAAACAATTTTGTTTGAAAATACATATTTCATTTTGAGATAATATGTCCTTTTTCTCTATTGATTAAGCCCATTTGGGCGCGCCGGCTAACTATAGTCTAGTTAGCTTTATCAATTTAACAAAATTTTAACAATAACAAAACAATCACAGATAACAAATAATTTATGATAAGGGTCAGCTTCTGCTGGCTCTAGTCAAATGAGATAGGGAAATGAGATCCCTCGGTTTAAGCTATTTTAAGCCAAAAATTGAAATTTTGACTCAAATTTAGTTCGCATTACGGCTAATTTTGTGATTCGTGGCACCAGGCGATCATAATCTGTAGCACAAGGATGTTGGAAATATTTATATATTTGATCGTTGGGTCACCTCCGACAGTTTCTGTTCGCCTGGTACTGCAAAACGAAAAATTCTGATTTGCCACCCTATTTTTAGCCAAAAATTTAAATTTTGACCCTAATTTAGTTCGAATTACGGCAAATTTTGTTATTCGTGGCACCAGGCGATCATAATCTGTAGCACAAGGATGTTGGATACATCTGATCGTTGGGTCACCTCCGACAGTTTCTGTTCGCCTGGTACTGCCAATCGGAAAAATTCTGATTTGCCACCCTATTTTTAGTCAAAAGTTGAAATTTTGACCCAAATTTAGTTTGAATTGCGGCAAATTTTGTGATCCGTGGCACCAGGCGATCATAATCTGTAGACAAGGATGCTGGAAATATCTATATATTTGATCGTTGGGTCGCCTCCGACAGTTTCTGTTCGCCTGGTATTGCAAAACGGAAAAACTCTCATTTGCCACCCTATTTTAAGCCAAAAATTGAAATTTTGACTCAAATTTAGTACGAATTACGGCAAATTTCCAGATCTGTGGCACCAGGCGATCATAATCTGTAGCACAAGGATGTTGGATACATCTGATCGTTGGGTCACCTCCGACAGTTTCTGTTCGCCTGGTACTGCCAATCGGAAAAAACTCTCATTTGCCACCCTATTTTTAGCCAAAAATTTAAATTTTGACCCTAATTTAGTTCGAATTACGGCAAATTTTGTGATTCGTGGCACCAGGCGATCATAATCTGTAGACAAGGATGCTGGAAATATTTATATATTTGATCGTTGGGTCACCTCCGACAGTTTCTGTTCGCCTGGTACTGCAAAACGGAAAAATTCTGATTTGCCACCCTATTTTTAGCCAAAAGTTGAAATTTTGACCCAAATTTAGTTTGAATTGCGGCAAATTTTGTGATCCGTGGCACCAGGCGATCATAATCTGTAGACAAGGATGCTGGAAATATCTATATATTTGATCGTTTGGTCGCCTCCGACAGTTTCTGTTCGCCTGGTATTGCAAAACGGAAAAACTCTCATTTGCCACCCTATTTTAAGCCAAAAATTGAAATTTTGACTCAAATTTAGTTCGAATTACGGCAAAATCTGATCGTTGGGTCACCTCCGACAGTTTCTGTTCGCCTGGTACTGCCAATCGGAAAAACTCTCATTTGCCACCCTATTTTTAGCCAAAAATTTAAATTTTGACCCTAATTTAGTTCGAATTACGGCAAATTTTGTGATTCGTGGCACCAGGCGATCATAATCTGTAGACAAGGATGCTGGAAATATTTATATATTTGATCGTTGGGTCACCTCCAACAGTTTCTGTTCGCCTGGTACTGCAAAACGGAAAAATTCTGATTTGCCACCCTATTTTTAGCAAAAGTTGAAATTTTTACCCAAATTTTGTTCGAATAACGCAAATTTTCAGATTTGTGGCACCAGGCGATCATAATCTGTAGCACATGGATGTTCGATACATCTGATCGTTGGGTCACCTCCGACAGTTTCAGTTCGCCTGGTACTGCAAAACGGAAAAACTATCATTTGCCACCCTATTTTTAGCCAAAATTGAAATTTTGACTCAAATTTAGTTCGAATTACGGCAAATTTCCAGATCTGTGGCACCAGGCGATCATAATCTGTAGCACAAGGATGTTGGATACATCTGATCGTTGGGTCACCTCCGACAGTTTCTGTTCGCCTGGTACTGCCAATCGGAAAAAACTCTCATTTGCCACCCTATTTTTAGCCAAAAATTTAAATTTTGACCCTAATTTAGTTTGAATTGCGGCAAATTTTGTGATCCGTGGCACCAGGCGATCATAATCTGTAGACAAGGATGCTGGAAATATCTATATATTTGATCGTTTGGTCGCCTCCGACAGTTTCTGTTCGCCTGGTATTGCAAAACGGAAAAACTCTCATCTGCCACCCTATTTTAAGCCAAAAATTGAAATTTTGACTGAAATTTAGTTCGAATTACGGCAAAATCTGATCGTTGGGTCACCTCCGACAGTTTCTGTTCGCCTGGTACTGCCAATCGGAAAAACTCTCATTTGCCACCCTATTTTTAGCCAAAAATTTAAATTTTGACCCTAATTTAGTTCGAATTACGACAAATTTTGTGATTCGTGGCACCAGGCGATCATAATCTGTAGACAAGGATGCTGGAAATATTTATATATTTGATCGTTGGGTCACCTCCAACAGTTTCTGTTCGCCTGGTACTGCAAAACGGAAAAATTCTGATTTGCCACCCTATTTTTAGCAAAAGTTGAAATTTTTACCCAAATTTTGTTCGAATAACGCAAATTTTCAGATTTGTGGCACCAGGCGATCATAATCTGTAGCACAAGGATGTTGGATACATCTGATCGTTGGGTCACCTCCGACAGTTTCTGTTCGCCTGGTACTGCAAAACGGAAAAACTATCATTTGCCACCCTATTTTTAGCCAAAATTGAAATTTTGACTCAAATTTAGTTCGAATTACGGCAAATTTCCAGATCTGTGGCACCAGGCGATCATAATCTGTAGCACAAGGATGTTGGATACATCTGATCGTTGGGTCACCTCCGACAGTTTCTGTTCGCCTGGTACTGCCAATCGGAAAAACTCTCACTTGCCACCCTATTTTTAGCCAAAAATTTAAATTTTGACCCTAATTTAGTTCGAATTACGGCAAATTTTGAGATTCGTGGCACCAGGCGATCATAATCTGTAGACAAGGATGCTGGAAATATTTATATATTTGATCGTTGGGTCACCTCCAACAGTTTCTGTTCGCCTGGTACTGCGAAACGGAAAGACTCTTATTTACCACCCTATTTTTAGCCAAAAATTGAAATTTTGACCCTAATTTAGTTCGAATTACGACAAATTTTGTGATTCGTGGCACCAGGCGATCATAATCTGTAGACAAGGATGCTGGAAATATTTATATATTTGATCGTTGGGTCACCTCCGACAGTTTCTGTTCGCCTGGTACTGCGAAACAGAAAAACTCTCATTTGCCACCCTATTTTAAGCCAAAAATTTAAATTTTGACTCAAATTTAGTTCGAATTACGGCAAATTTCCAGATCTGTGGCACCAGGCGATCATAATCTGTAGCACATGGATGTTCGATACATCTGATCGTTGGGTCACCTCCGACAGTTTCAGTTCGCCTGGTACTGCAAAACGGAAAAACTCTCATTTGCCACCCTATTTTTAGCCAAAAATTGAAATTTTGACCCTAATTTAGTTTGAATTGCGGCAAATTTTGTGATCCGTGGCACCAGGCGATCATAATCTGTAGACAAGGATGCTGGAAATATCTATATATTTGATCGTTTGGTCGCCTCCGACAGTTTCTGTTCGCCTGGTATTGCAAAACGGAAAAACTCTCATTTGCCACCCTATTTTAAGCCAAAAATTGAAATTTTGACTCAAATTTAGTTCGAATTACGGCAAATTTCCAGATCTGTGGCACCAGGCGATCATAATCTTGTCTGTAGACAAGGATGCTGGAAATATTTATATATTTGATCGTTGGGTCACCTCCGACAGTTTCTGTTCGCCTGGTACTGCGAAACAGAAAAACTCTCATTTGCCACCCTATTTTAAGCCAAAAATTGAAATTTTGACTCAAATTTAGTTCGAATTACGGCAAATTTCCAGATCTGTGGCACCAGGCGATCATAATCTGTAGCACAAGGATGTTGGATACATCTGATCGTTGGGTCACCTCCGACAGTTTCTGTTCGCCTGGTACTGCCAATCGGAAAAAACTCTCATTTGCC